CCGTTCTCTCGAGAGTATATTTTACCACCATCCAAATGCGAAAGTGCGCATTCTAAGCAATGCTTTGACACAAAAGGCGTTTTCTGAGTTCAATGAAGCAGGATTTCAAGTAGAGGTCGAGAACTATACTCTTGAAAACTTACTAAGGCGCATTGAAAATCTGGAACCAGACACCTTTGCAGGTCGCTCGAAAGCGTTTTTGAAAAGAATGCCTGTTATTTCAAAAGGACCATACTGGTATAGCCACGAAACTGATTTGATAAGGTTGCTACTGCTCTATCTGTACGGTGGCGTTTACATGGACACTGACATCATTTTAGTAAAGAGTTTAAAAGTTTTGAATAATGTTACTGCATGGGAAGACAGAAAAAATTCCGTGTTAAATGGCGCTGTTGTAAAATTTGATAAGCACAATCCATTTCTCCGTGAGTGTATTAAAGAATACCTCCTTAACTATAAGCAGAACGATTGGGCGGCAAATGGACCGCATCTTCTCACCCGCGTGGCGAGAAAACATAGCACGTGGGTGTGTGACGTCAACAGTTTTGAGGATGTATCGAAAGGCAAGCCATGCATAGTCAGACGTATGTATCGGCAATCGTTTTATCCTATTGAGTGGCCTAATGTTACACGAGAATGTTTCCTTGATAAAGGCAGAGTAAACGAAGAGTCCTTTTCTGTGCATCTATATAACAAATTATCGAAAGCGTATGGGGACGCTACCAAGCCTGGGACGCTCTGCCGTTACCTTCTGAACATTTTTTGCATTTTCTGTGGAGACTTTGTTTAAACCGTCTATAATGCTTGCATGAGAGAAGCAAACGGCAAAATGATGGGGGTCTGTAATATAAAAACTGCGTGGTATAAATATTTATGGTGATGGTGTATATAATTTTCAGTTCACGTTTCACATGAGAATGCATGTAAGAGAAAGCATGTAAGAACACGAAGTGTTATTAAATAATCGGATTTTCCTATTAATACCACTACTGCTCTGTTTGTTAATAACACATCTAAATTCTTGCTCTTTTATATAGCATTACTAGCCCCCCCTCGCTTCAATTGGACATGTTTCGTACTTCAAACCATATCTGGGACTTACAAAAAATTATGTTTGCAAAATTCGTTGTGTTGCAGTTGCAAAATGCGGCTCTACAACCCTAAAAGCAGTTACCCAATTTATACCCTGTACAAATTGCCATTAAGAGGCAAGACACTCGTCGTTATAGAATGGTTGTATCCACGAACAATTAGAAATGTGTATTAATAATAAGTAAGGATACGTGTATTTCTCTCTTTTTTAAATCACATTACACCGCCTTTAAACTTAGCACATAAACTGTACACGCTTAACTTCAGAACTTTTTCAACACTTAAACCATTTCCTCTTTTACATTTTCGAAGTCCCTTTTTCTCAATTAAGAGATCAAAATTCAAAAGATCAATTTCATTCAACTTTGAGTGAACAGTAGTCTATTTCAATGGGAGATTCAAAGCAGACATGTGCCCCTGTCGTAGTTCCTGAAATACTCT